CCGTAGTGCTTGGCGGTCCACATAGTCAAAGACAGCTTTTAGATCAAGAAAAACAACAATTGTTGGTTGCTGGAAGCAGTGTCGCTGTTCCAGAATCTGTCGGAGGGTGAAGATATGGTCAATGCAACCTCTTGCAGGACGGAACCCAGCTTGGTTTTCACGGATCTGCCTCTCCCTGTGTTCAGTCAACCTTCGAAGGATAAGGCCAGAGAGCACCTTCGATGCCACAGCTAACAGGCTTATGCCACGGTGGTTTTCGCATAGCGTCCGTGTACCCTTTTTGAAGAAAGGGATAACTGTCGACTTAGGTACGCGCAATGCTGACGAGAAGCACTTGCATGATCAGAGCAAGTTATGTGCCCCAGAAGATGCTGTCCCTCGGTGATTCATAGCGACATGATCCAGTTAAGTCCATGACTGTCTTCCGGTTGGTTGCCTGCAAGTAACTCGATATGAGCGTTTAAGCTGAACGTTTTTAGTTACCAGTAACAGACAATGATCCGCACAAAACTGAAGCAGTCGCTACTCATTATCCGTACGCTGATTAGCGACTCCAAAGCTACTACCCAACTGTGCTTCTTCTGAACTCAGTCCTTCAACTTGGGTATTCGTATCACCGTATCCGTCATTCTTTCTAAACGAAGTGGTTGCGACAGGTCACTTTAAAACCCACCATCAGTTTCAATACTACAGTCTGTCAGGGATTATGCAGGTACGACAACTAACTAACGATCTGGATAACCGTTCAGCTGTAGCACCCGTTCGGCACCTAGCTGCCATGCCACCAGATGGAAGCACGGGGGCTGGGATACTGCCAGGTTGCCCAAGTTTAGACAGAGGAAGTCGAGAGGCAGAGGTCGGGTTCGAACCACGGACTTTCCGGTCAGTAAATTCGCGCTCTAACCACTTGGGCCATCTCGCCCCTGGTACGACAAATAAACACCGTTTACTGCATCGGCATGCGTTAATCTTAATTGAGCTAAACCGCACAGCTCACAGCCTACTGTTCACTGTGATCCAGTCCAGTAAGGCGCCTTCAGCCATGGGTTGATTGCAGCTCCCACACTGTAGATGCCCCGATCCATTGCGTCAGTATCGCTGCATACCTGAAGAGTGAAATGTGAAACATCAGATGTCGTCCTAAGCGGCTTGAGTTTTACGACCGAAGTGGCGAATTGCGTCTCGGAAATACAACATACGTCCACAGATAGGGAAAGCAGGGTTTCAGCGACAGATGCCTGTCACCCAATTCGATATACGGTACAGACATTAAAGGCTGCAACGTAGATCACATGCGATTTTTTTAATTTATGTGCTGTGTCAGATTGGCTGACAGACATCTCTCGCTGAGATCATGCTTGTCCTATCTGTCTATGTATATCGTACCTCGGAGACATGCAGTAAAGCCTGAAACGTAGATCAAATCCCGACCCAAAGCTGTCACGTCGTGGTGATCGGGCTTCAGTGCTGCAATGATCTTGTGGGTTATACTTGCTGAAATTTAGTTCCTTAAGTTTCAACCACGCTAGGAAGGTCAACGACCAAGAACAGCGAGTCCCCGTACTAGGAGTAATCGTATTACTAGGCCGTCTGAGGGTAAAGTCGTACTGCGATAGGAGTGTGAAGGCAGTACGGCGTTTCCCCAAGGCGACCAGCATGTCCACATTCATGGAAGCAGCGACGCTGCCATCCCACGAGGAAGGATGGGTCAGAAAAGATCGGTTTCAAAAACCGTCAGTTTGTCTGTCACGGCGAGAGCTTACACTGCGATGGATCCATGGATCAGAGACGTGGTCCTTACGCGCAGAGGACATACAGGAGATTACAGTGCTTGATCATGAGTGTCTCCAAAGCATTGATCAGGTCTGGTGGGAACATCGGTTTAGTAATGCTCAGGTGCACCAGGTGTTCTTAGGAAAATGGAACTCGCCTGCGATGTATGAATCACTCACGCCTTATAGGTTGCGCTGGTTAGGATATGTGTTCCGTATGCCAGAAGACCGTCTGCCTCGCAGAGCTCTTTTCGCCCAGTCCTTTGCTGAGTGGAAACGACCGAGAGGTGAACAGTGTATAACCTGGAAACGAAGTACGTAAACACTAACCAGTAAACTTAATCGGGTCGGCAACTGCCGCCTCCCGGGATGGGGACTCAAATCACTAGTGGCCCCAAGGCGGCATGTCCACATTCATGGAAGCAGCGACGCTGCCATCCCACGAGGAAGGATGGGTCAGAAAAGATCGGTTTCAAAAACCGTCAGTTTGTCTGTCACGGCGAGAGCTTACACTGCGATGGATCCATGGATCAGAGACGTGGCCCTTACGCGCAGAGGACATACAGGAGATTACAGTGCTTGATCATGAGTGTCTCCAAAGCATTGATCAGGTCTGGTGGGAACATCGGTTTAGTAATGCTCAGGTGCACCAGGTGTTCTTAGGAAAATGGAACTCGCCTGCGATGTATGAATCACTCACGCCTTATAGGTTGCGCTGGTTAGGATATGTGTTCCGTATGCCAGAAGACCGTCTGCCTCGCAGAGCTCTTTTCGCCCAGTCCTTTGCTGAGTGGAAACGACCGAGAGGTGAACAGTGTATAACCTGGAAACGAAGTACGTAAACACTAACCAGTAAACTTAATCGGGTCGGCAACTGCCGCCTCCCGGGATGGGGACTCAAATCACTAGTGGTTAATGACATTGGTAGAAATGGCTCAATCGCGCAGTCAGTGGCGCTCGTGCTTCAGTGAACAAACTGAACATGCCTTCGCCTCCAAGGCCTGGTTGTATGTCCCATACTCTCATTCTCAGCTGATCGAAACTGTAACAGCTGGAACCAATGTGCCTATGGTACATGGTTTATTGCTGATAAATTGGATTGAATTTGTGTCATTGCACAAGGAAACAATTACTGTTACAATGTTCGACGCAGGTGACTAAAAGACAATCACAAAATATGCCTCCGGTTTTTTCATCCCTGTGATTCAGCGACTCCAAGTGGACCACACAGTGGGTAAATGTTTGTCGCTGAAGCTATCTGCCCGACTAGAAACTGGTCAATCTCATCAGAGGGGCAGTGAAAATCACTTCCCAGCTGCCATCAACGTGTAGTTACTTTGTAGTGTTGGGATAGGTACTCACTCGCCGGTCAGGTGGAGGATGACGAGAGATTCGGCTGGAATTCACTTAGATCTCTCGTTTGTAATGTGCTACACACTGGTCGCCTATACCCAAATTTTTATCAAGCTGACGTTTTATTTGAACCCCTTTTTTCACATGTTGCGTAAACACTGTTTGACCAATGAAATTCTCGTTTACTGAAACTCAGATAAAGGTCGGATGAATCTCCCCTCAGTTCCATCTGTTGGGCCTCCCGATGATACCAATTTATCTGTAACTGACTGTTTGCCGCAACACACATACAAATGTTCATGACCGAGGTAAAATTCAGGGGAATGTGGAAGCTTGACCTACCTGGTGATCCCAATGAAGGACAAGATGTTTAGTCGACTATCCGGAATTTTCATCAACGAAATGAACAGTACCGCAGTAGCCTAGAGGCCACCACTAAGATAGCTTTGGATCCGCATGCATTGATGGTACCAACAGTTTGGTAGTAGTAGTAGTCTGTAGTACCAGTTCTACGTTCAGTACCAATCTTGTCGGTGGAGGCCTATTCATGTGTGCTCCACCTGGGACAAAACACAGACTAAGTAACTAAGGATTGATGTGTACGTACCACGTCATCAATCATCACCTTAGAACTAGCATCGGATCCCATTATTACATAAGCTGGCGCCAAACCAATGCTTCAGAGTTCACGCTTCGCACACAGCAATGTGTTAAGGAGACAATGCTTTCCAATTTTCCCCTAAAGTTTGAAAAAAAATGCGGGCAGAAACGCAACAAATGGGCATGAAAATATTTGCAACTAAAGGTACCACGACCACCCTTTTCTGGGAAGTATTCGTTAGAGATGCCACCTAACACCGTATGGTGTGAAACCTTTTGCGCGAAGTCGTAATCTATCTAGGTGCAAGCAAATCGCACTTCTTTTCGGTGAATGGTATAGTGTAACGTCGTTTCGAAAGGTGTGGCTTCTGGAGACTTATGGGGCTAGAAATTCTCAAGGTTACTGAGGAGAATTCAGCATTCATACAGTGCTTAACGGTCATTTGTCAAATGCTATGTTGCCTGGTAAAAGGGAATCCAGAGTCCTCTTATCAGTGATATAAATTGTTACTAAATTGTTCAGCTGTATGTTTGCCTTGACTTGAAATGAAAATGACGGAAAACCCCGCTAATATTCTCCAGAATGACCAGCTCACATAAGATTGAAACGCGTCCATATCAGCGTCACGTGACCGGTAAATAGAGTATCGTGAGCAAACAGTTATGTGCTCCGAATAAAAATGCGTTATTCACGTCATTTCCCACCATGTGATTTCTCATTTTCGTACTTACACTTAGCCGGTGTCCTGAAGTTGGATAAGGGCGCAGCGTGAGAGTCTAGTGATCAGCTGATGTGCTACATTACTTCCTGTACCCAGTCAACCCTGGTGCCCGTGGCACATAGTTTATAGGTGATAAATTGAATTGAATTGACGTAGATAAGATTTCACGAGATTAGTAAGTTATCATTTTGGTTTATTTTTATGGGCGAGAGTTTTGACACTGAGCAATGACTGGGGAACTGGTCGATGGATTGGTCGCCTTTCACTGCTCGATGGGTGAGACTATGGGGAAGAGCCAGTGAACAAATAGCTGCAAGAGCGAATGATACTTCCTGCTTGGCCAAGCCGATTAAGGACGTTTGGTTGAGGTACCCACCTTGAGCCTTTGGCTCAAAATTCTGACCCACAAGGCAGTCGGAGGATGTAGGGTTTTGTTTCGGGGACTCTCCCTCTAGCCTCTGAATCAAAAGGCTGGACCGCGAGGCAGTGGTTGTTAGGGTTTCCTTGGGTGACCCTTCCGGAAGCGAGTTACTCAATGGTCTGACCTACTTGGCTGTAGGGGGCCAGCCTGGCCCGAGGACGTCTGCGCACAACAGATGCCTTTTGAGCAGCACCAGACTCGCTGGCTCTAAAAGTATTTAGACCATGATGAGTAATACACCGGCTGTGACGGTCAACCTTTGGGTGATCGGAGTGTTCGATTTTTAGGTTGGACGTTTTCTAACCCTAAAAGAGACGTCCCAATGAGACTTATTTTGGATGTGTATTTCTCCACTTTATGTCACTGTACAATTGTTGGTGGATATTTTAGAACCCGTACCCTAGCGTTTCTGTTAATATAATCTTCGTGGCGCTTTTTTGTGGAATTGGTAAAAGGCTTTGACTTTCAATTTCTGGGGTGGCGTCTGTTTTTACTAACGTCTTTAAAATGTAAACTAAATTGTATCTGTGACTGTGACATTATTCTTCCTTTGTGGTACTCACAATCTTTTCAATTGTAAAGAGATCGAGCTTCCTGATTCCTTCACAAATTGACCTACTCACCTACCCAAATTCCCCGGTGACCAATGCATTGATGTGACAATCCATTAGTAGATGCTTAGTTCTTCACATAGAATTGTGAGCCTAGAGCTTTCAGTCTACGTAACGCGCCTTATCTCGCAAGTGGTGGTCAACTGTATATATACTGCACCACTGATATTTTCAGAGTGATCCATGTCGGATACCGTCACAGGGACTGTACTACAGGAATACAGGTTGGGCAAATGACGTTAGCTGCACGTTCAGCCGCACGTTAGGAATGTTTGTCATATCTTCATATTTCTCCCATGAGTTGAACTACATATATTCATTGAGTGTACCATGTTCGCCACAGGACAGGTGAGAATGTCAGCTACTGATGCGCAAACAGATGGTTGGCAAAATCACAGTTCTATATTGGTTGTTAATGAAGGTAAAGTGCCCTTCTTCCTGGATTACTGTGTTTTTTAGGCGAATTCTTGGTGTGTTTGAGATGGTTAAGTTGTTTTTTCCGGTGGAGATTTCTTGTATTACTGAGCTTATAACGGTGGTCTTCCATCAATACATGATTTCCCGTTCGTCTTCGTCTTGTACTTCAGAGCTTGCACGGGACAAAGTGGAGCGCACGTGGTCCATACCACCGACACGTTTCCAAACGCAATGGTTGAGTTCCTCTGGATCTTCTGAGAAAACACATTCAGAACACGAGCCCCATAGTTGGATTTACTCACAAACTCTGCCAAAGCGCCAAATTGTTGTCGGGGGTATTTTCAGTCCCGTATCCGATGGGTACAACAAAAAAGACTTGGCTGCATCGTCCGTACGTGTCGAATTGCTGCGGTTGGCGTGTCAGTTTAACTCTGACTGGCTGGCGGTGGACCCATGGGAGGCCGTTCAGCCGAACTGGACAAGAACGCGTCTGGTAGCGGACTGCCTTCAAGCTAGACTCGATCAGATCTTTGTGAAACTCAATGAACTTGAGTGCAGTCCGTTTGGCCTGCATGAGCAGTTGTATGTTGATAATACTCCAGCTTATCTCGGTAAGACTCTCAGTACATTCCTGTTCAACACCTTGTTGAGCTTTTTTCATCAAAAACTTTCGAGTTCATAATGTTTGTTCTGCTCTAAAAACAACCTTGCTAGTCCCAATATTAATTCACCCATCTAGACCTTGGTATAGCGGAAAATAACCAAGAAAATCTTGATGCGTCTCATAGCCACTTGGTTCTTCAGCCACACGTTTGTTTATTCACCTAACGTTTTCAATTCAAAGGAGCTAACTATCCCCGTTGATATCCAGTCCCAACTTTTAATAGGGAAACTGTTGAAGGACGCAGGAGCTGTTTCCAGGGTGTGTCTGGGCACGAGCGTTAATCTTATTTCGCCTGTCTAGGAGTTCCTGGTGCAGACATTTTCTCACCATCTACTGCGGCATTGGCATGTGTGAGACTCACAGCGCTCCTAACATCAGGTTGTTAGAGGTCTGAATAGTATTGTCTCATGGACTTCAAAATTAGAAGTCGCGAAATGTTTGGAAGCTTTTTTTCCTAATGATGAACAACTTTGCTAATCAGTTATCTTACAGAGAGGCTTTTGGCCGTTGGTCTGGATTTAGGTGCTCTGGTCGGTGGTCGTTGGCTTGTTCGCTGAGCTGGGCAATTTGGTTGCAAACGTTTCATCACCAATCGAGGTGACATCATCAGTGCGTAGTTGTGCGTAGCGGTGGGTTAGTGGTTGCTCTGTCAGTGTTTCGGCCCTCGTCCAATTATGATTTCCGCAAATACCAATGCTCGCACATTTTGGAGCATTACGAACGCTATCATGTACAACTGTTGTTCTGGGTGTGCCCATCTCCACGTAAGTAATAATAGTGGTGTTGACATAATGCTCACAAATCCATAAGAAAGTTGGATCATGCAAGCTACTTTGCACAGATTTCTTTCATGTACCCTCCCTCCGTTGTCTCGACTCACTCCAGCCTAATTTCACTTTTCCAGTTAGCTGACAGAAACTTAATGAAATAATTATTGCCCTTCAGCCCCCCTATCTCCAACTGTCAGATGCCCTCTTCCTTGCAGTAGTCTCAACTGTTTGCTCTATCCCCTCCCTTATTTTTACTATTTATAGGCAATCTTTGTATACCAGAATGTATGCACTTGATGAAGACACAACCTTCTTTCCCACCCTTTATTCGTCCCAGCGCTCTGCTTCCTATGGAGACCGGATACAAACCTTACTGTACTTTACTTGCGTTTAACTCGCGTGCTGAACACTGATCTTTAATCCACTTTTGAGTTGAGTTGGCTTCTCTGGGTCCTCTTTTAACCTAATCTCTCCATATTTAGCCCTCTCTACCATGCTTCTTCCGGTTTTCAACTCTTTGTGTCTCTTGACGGTACTTCCTATCTTCATCCTCCACCGTGCTTTTAATGTGGTTTCTTTTCAAATTCTCCTGCCTTCCGCGTGTCAAATCCTCTGGGAAAGGCGCTTCTCTTCCAGTGTCCGAAATGCCTTACTCAGACTAAGATTCTTGCTTTATACAAAGCGTAACTCTGCCCTACCCTAGAGTACTGCTATCGTATTCGAGTTGCGCTTCCATCCTCCCGTTTCTCTATTCGATCAGGTTTAGATAGAGATTATTTGTCTTTGGCTGCCTCCGTAACGGGTGGGCTTCAGTCACTATCCCTCTCTTGAGATGCAGATTCTCTACTTCCAGTCTATCGCCAATATCAAGGAACGCATGCTTCTCTGTTTGGCTCCTCAGGTTACGCCAATCAAGACACTTCCTTACTGTCAATCTGATCTTTTCGCAACTCTTTTCCACCCATTCCGGTATTCCCTCTTTCATGATCTCCAACTTCCCGTCTCTGATCATACCGCCTTAGATCTTTGTTTATATTGCCTGTTTTTGTCGTCATTTTTAAAAAGGTCTCCTGTAATGGGTATTCCTTTCCTCTATAAGTCAGGTTCATGTGTAGTAAAAAGATCGGTAGCGTCGTCGCCTGGTGCCAATACCTTACTTGCAACATACAGCAGAGGTGGCAATCGGGTCGATGCTGATGCTGACATCTCCCATCCTCACCCCTGATAATCACTTCACTTCTCTCCCGTCTCACTCAAGTATCGCCCTTCTGTAGGCCTTGGCTATGAATGTGTCAGTCTTGCACCCGAACTGCCGCCACTTCCACCGCTTTGAGTCCACTGTTGAAATTCTGTTCTGTCTCTATCACGGACGTGAGTTAAGTCGGCAACTTACTCTTACGTCCCTCTCGATAATATATTGATGTACATTCGCTGCATTTCTGTTACTCGAACCCAAGATTCGAGCTTGCAGAACTCACTGTCGAAACTCTGCCGACAACAAACTCCAGGTGATATTGAGACTTTATCATCGTCATTGGCTGTACGAACCGCGTGCTTGTCGTACAGTGGTTATAGTTGCCACAGATTTGATGAGATTTGAGATGGCTGCGCATCGGAGGAGGTAGCTTTGATGCGCAAACACAGGATTGTCAGTGGGCTATTAATAGGGAGAAGGTCGGCAGGAAAGCTATGCATTGAGGGCAATCGCTTGAATGCACGAGCACCACTGAAGGCTCGACTGCGCCATGTCTGACGACGCTGTAACCATTGATGTGTCCCGTCTCGGGGTCCCCATCTAGAGCGACGGTAATGATCACCACGGCTGAGTTCGCTGGTAATAGCTTTCACACTTCGCTACTTAGTCACCGTTTGACCCCCCTGGCTCGTTGCCACCCACACGTGGTTGTGCGAAAAAAGCCCTTCGATAAATTCGGTCAACTGACCACACCAGTGCAACATGTGGAATGTGATCAATTCAACTATCGCGGGCGAAGTGTTTCTTCTGAAAACCATTCGACGTACTTTAGCGTCACTGTTCCCATCAGATTCGGACAGTGCTCCGAAGACATTGATGGTCAAAAACTGAGCCCTTCCTCGTCCTTAGCGCGCAGAGGCCATGTTCCGGATCCGTATAATAGTAAGGAGCGCACCGCAGCATCGTACACTCGACCTTTGGCGAGCAAACTGTTTTCACGCCTGCGTCGCAGGTGATGCAGGTTCGCGAAAGCTGCTCCGCTCCCCCCCCATGCGGATGGAAATATAATCTTTTGCGAAACCACCTGGACTGACACAGCTGCTCAGGTAGGTAAACCTGTCTACTACCTCTATAGGCTCACCCACAAGCGTGAGACTAGGGTTCGAGCCCTCCCAGTTTTGCAACCAACACTCTGCACTTTAAAGGTGTTAAGCATATGCCAAACTATGATGCGGAGGCGCTCAGACTATTTAATGTTGTCTGCATTACAATAGCGTCAGGTCCGAGAAGAGCTATGTCGTATGCGTACTTGATATCTTTGAGCGAATGCCCTGGGAGCACCTCTACCCCCACAGTCATTAGAGGCTGGTAGTGAGTCTTCCATAATCGTATCAATGACGAAGTTGAAGAGGAAAGGCGAAATAGAATATCCCTGCCTGAAACCACTTGATGTGGTGAACTCAGGTGAAAGCTTCCCGTTGACCTTCAAATGGCCGCAAAAGTTGGAGTACAACGCCTTAAGGAGTGTCAACAATTTATGGGGAACACGTTTGCTCCACAGACACTTCCATAGTGCCCGACGGTCCACAGAGTCAAAAGCAGCTTTCAAGTCAAAGACTACAACAATTGTTGGGCGCTGGAAATAGTATCGCCGTTTTAAAATGTATCGCAGGGTGAAAATATGATAGACGCATCCACTTGCAGGACGGAATCCAGCTTGGTTTCCACGGATCTCTCTTCCTATGTTTAATCGTCATTCGAAGGATAAGACCTGAGAGCACCTTGGATGCTGCCGGGCTGGTGCCACGGTGGTCTTCACGCAGTGTCCGCGTACCGCTTTTGCAGATAGGAATAACTGTCGACATGCTCCATTGTTTGCATTCTTTGAAGAGGGTTGAGTGCAGATCGTCCGTCCTTAGTACCTTCTGAAGTTTAGGTACGAATATTTCGTGTTATATTTCTTCCGACAGGCGATTAATTTTTACATCCCTTAAGCCGTACACACTATCTTTTCAGCGTTTGAGGGATTTGTGTGCGTCGTCGTACTCATTGCTTGTTGGTATTAATTTCCTGGCATTAATCATGGATAGCGATCTCTACTATATCCAGTGCTGTTGTGGTCGAATCGGAGAAGTCAAACCGATAGTATCGAATATCGCTAGTATGGATTCGCATTTTGCCATGATTCGTCCACGTGCTTTCCACCAGTACAACATTGGTTTATTGTAGAGGGTAGTTGAGCTAGCTCAGACCGATACTGTTGAGCTATGGTAGTTCTTCGGAGATGGCTGATTGGCATGCTTCTTGCTGACTTTCGAGGGCCTGAAGGGTAACGAACTGTCGGGCGTTCATGCACCATGGCGTGATCGGAACCAAGTTGTATGTCCTAGAAGGAACGGCAGCTCTGAGTGGTGGCCCTCCAACGGTGGGTGATGGCCACGTGATCCAACTGGGTCCACGGTTGATTGGCGGTCGGTGGCCGCCAGGTTACGCGATGCGGGAGTTTATGTTGAAAGTTAATACTGACTAGAAACAGTTCATAACCAGCACGTGACTGGAGGAGTCGCTCTCCGTTTCGACGCGCATCAACTCCGAATCACTCGCCCTTCTCCAGTAGGGCTTTGTATTATGCTCTTGTAAGCCTCGTGAAATCAGAATAAAGTTTCCCTTCGTGGGAGATGTCCCTTTCCCAGAGACGTTTAGGGAACATTGAAGTGTTATTGGTTGTTGATCAGGTGGCTGTTGTTCGGCGAGCTTGGCATTTGGCTTGCAAACGCTTCGTCACCATTCGAGGAGACATCATCAGTGCGCAGTTACAAACATTGAAGTTGTTCAGTGGCTAGAGTGCGAATTTACTGACCGGAAGGTCCGTGGTCCGAACCCGGCCTCTACCTCTCGACTTCCCCTGTCTAGGCTTGGGTAACCTGGTTGTATCCCAGCTCTCGTGCTTCCTTCTTGTGGCATGTCAGTTAGGAACCGAAA